CCCCTAAATAGTCTCAGCCGGCGAAACCCGGCATATCGCTCTGTCCCGGCGTGTTGGGGGTACAAGCCAATGTCTGACGACTGCGACCTTAACATACATGAGTAACCCCCCCCACCCCCACCCCTACATGTTGCCGTTACCCCCCTTCTTTCCCCTGCAGGATGGGAAACGGTCGCCAGGTTCCTCGATATCCTCGCCTCCTCCCCTCCTGCCCAGGGTGTCCTCCGCAGCTACCAACAGCCTCGATCCCACCTGGCATTTTGATCCTTCCCCCATCCTCTCCTCGGGCATCATTTCGGTGCAAGCAGGTGCGGCGGCGGGCTTGAATATTGGGGTCCTAGGGTTGGGGCTCGGTTGTGATGTTGAACTACAACTCGCCCTCGGACACATTTTTTTCTTAGGATACTCGTCCGGCGTAAGGATAACGTTTTGTTCACAGACATGGTGCCACCCGCAGAATGTACCACGTAAGGAGGGGGTATCAATCGCAAGGACACTAGCGCAAATCATTCGTGGCCTTAACTGAGGGACGACTGTAGTGGTTCTGGTGGGGGAGATGAGGCTGCTACACGGAGGACAACTTGTCCAAGTAAGGGGAGCAGTATCCCTTCACCACCGATTCGAGCGTCGAGCTAGTTGCGTGCCCTGATTTTTTGATCGATCTCCCCGCTGAGTCGGAAGCCGGACTCGCGCCGTGCGTCAATCCACGGCCCGCAGACATGGGTTCACGACGTCTACAATAGGCTCAAACAAGAGACGTCCGTCATGGTTTGTGCACGAGCACGACTATTATGTAGGCCTGTCTCGGTACCACGAAAGCACACGTACCGGCGGCATGTGCCGTGCCGGCATGTGCCGTTTTCTCACCCCAGAGTTTTCTCGTGTACCCTCTTATCAGACTCAACGCTTCCGCTTCTCCCGGCTTTCTCAATTTCAACCGTAACCAACGTCTCCTCGAATGCAAGCTCTTGACGGAAACTGTACCGCATCACGTCCCTCTCTCCTTGCTCCCTTGTCTTTTTCGCGCGTTCGTTTACCCGTGACCCCTGACTGGAGTAGGCTCCACTGCGTCCTCTCCGGTGCTCACGTCGGAGTTCCCGGAGCCCGGACGGATAGCCGCGCTGGCGTCCCGCATCGAAACCCGACACGCCTCGCCGAAGGAAAAGAACGGCGGCAGCACCCTCGCGAGCCCCGTCCCGGCGATCGTTCCGGGAAACGTTCCGGGGAAGACCGACGTGGGCCCGCTGGCTACGGCTTTGCCGCTGCCGACGCTGGCGGCGACAACGGCGGCGGGGCCCGCCCTGCGGAGCCGCAGCAACAGCGGCAGGTGGGTGATGAAGCGTTGTTCGAGCTCGACGTCTCTTACCCCCGAGCCCACGGATGGGGGCCCCGCGGATGGTCGGATAGGGGCGGGCTCCGGGTCTTGCAGCGCCGCCGGGTCTTCTGGGGGATCAAGGAATGGTAGCGTCCTCAGGCGGTCGTCTTCGTCGGCGGCGACGGCGCCGCAGCAAGAGGATGGGGGGGGCGCCGCCGCCGTTCCGAGGAACGTGCCCAGGTCGGCGGGGTCGGCGGCGGCGGCGGCGGCGGGCAAGGACGACGACGCCCTCGCTGCGCCCGCCAGCTGGGAGCAAGGGGGAAAGAGGTGGCCTGCGCTCCTGGGAAAGAGCAGCGGCGGCAGCAGCATCAGCAGCAGCAGCAGCTTCGGAAGCGACGACAGCGAGTTTTGCTCGGCCCTGGGAAGCCGTTCTCCTGACGCGGAATCGGTGCCCCCCAAAGGCGGCCGCGCGGGTGGCGGCGGCGGCGGCGGCGGCGATGAGCCCCTGATGCTCTCCAAGGACCAGCAGGTTCGGTCCCCAGTAAACGGTGGCGAGGAAGGCGGCGTCAGCAGCAGCAGCTGCAGCGAGGCAACGCTGCCCGCCTCTCCCGACAAAGGAGGGGGTTGTGGTTGACTTGCGCGTTTGGCACCAACCGACGAAAAGGAGGGGCATTTGTGACCGATCTAGGGGGTCGGGACCGGCCGAGCCCATAGCAAAATTTGTCGAGCTGCTACCCTTTTTTTGTTTTCTCCTTGTCTATGCTAGGGGGGGGGAGGGGGTGCTGCTGTGGCGGGTGGCGGCCAGTTGAGGTTCCGTTCGGCCCAAGGAACAAACCACCGTTGGGGGGTGAGGTAATGTGTGCAACATGCACGAACGAAGGCGAAACGTTGCCAGGCCTCAGTCATTCCGAGCCGGAAACGAGCGACCAGGTGCCACCGACACCACCAAGGAAGGCAGCCGGGGTTGCAAGACAGCCGGGGTTGGAAGACAGCGGGGAAGGTATTGGGTAAGCCTGCAAGCAAGACATCTGCAGCACTGCAATCTCGTCGAATCTAGCAGGCGTCGCGGCACTCTTGGATAGGCTCAACGTCTGCAGCACTGTTGTGGTCTAGTAGGCGTGGAGGCATGAGAAGTTTCAACCTCGCGTAATACAGATACTTTTTTTTTGGCGTTCGAAGGGGGGGGGGAGGGATGCTAGGGGTCGGAGGGCGGGTTTTACCACTGCGCCATTGAAATCCTGTGAGGTTTAGCGGCAAGCGATTGTAGAATGACCGTTTTCCTCTTGCTGTTTGTACGGTGGACTAGACCATCTTGTTTCGTCTGTTTCATTCGAAAGGGCAAACGACAATTACATCCGTGTTTGTTTGGTTGTGTTGTGTTGTGTTGTGTAGTGCCACACGGCGATAGGAGACCCCGTCCGGCCTTGTGGCGTGTGCCACCAAGGGGGACATGGTAATTGCTAGTTTTTTTTTTGCAAGACGTAACCGCGGACAAGCGGCTGTGTTTGTGATGCTTGCGTTTGTTCAAGTACGTACGTGAGCTAGGGTTTCCCGATTTTTGCTACGTCATGTGTTAGCTGTTGGTTGTCGAGTTACATTGTGTCAGATATCGTTTTAGGTAGGGTGAATAGAGCAACACGAAAGATCACTACGGTTATCTACGTACGAGAATGATTTCGCTGTTCAAGTTGTGCGTTATCTTTTATCTTGTCGGGCGGTATATGCTGTGCGTCATTTGCGGGGCGGTGATGTGTTTACGATTATCGGGTAGTGGTGGTCAAGATCATGGAGAAATGCTTGTTCGTTTTCGGGTCCACGGCAGTTTATATCTGTTTGAAAAGCCGCCCGGCTGATTTCTTGTGACGCCAATAATGGAGGCATGTATCCTAGACTACGCCGGCGATGTTTTTTTCTCCGTCCAGATAGCCGCGGACGCAACGCTTGCCTGTGTTGTCCTTCTGTCGAGTACGTAATAAACTGCATTTCTGAAACATGTTTGGTTTGTGTCCTCAAACCACAAGTGAACCGCGGTGGGTTATTTGTTGTGCTCTTGGACGTCTGCCGTTCACGTATTGCTGCGTCGATGTAACGGGTAGGTCTGAATGCGTCGTGGGTTCTTTGTCTGTATGTGTTATGAATTCGCGCCGAGTTGCACGGCGCGCTAAACAAAGGCTGTCGAGTTATTAGCAGCGGAATTGAGTGTTGTCTTGGTGCCGTTGTCGACTCCTTTTTCCATTTAGTTTTTTTCCCGTATGTCGACGGGAAGATGAGATGCGAGCATTGACGGCAGCGTGGATGGTCCGGATTTATGCGACACACACGGGGCATTTTCGTCGCACCAGGGCGATGGCATTGACGGTAAGGTCTGCCGTGATGAAAAGGTGTTGACGTTGTCCAGGCGTTTTTAAAATCGACTTCGTTGGGAACAGGTTGTATCAAGTGTCTTTCGAGAACATCGTCAAGAACGTAGGCTGCAGGAAACAATTCCTTTGTAAATCATGCGTGCACCGTCAGCACCCTACGCTGCACCCAGACTCCGGGAGACACTTGAGAGTGGCCAGGGCGGAGGATCGTTTGAGGAATATTGACTTTTTTGCGGGCGACCGCCGTGGAGAGAGCCATGGTCTCTTCTCCTGCCCGCCAAAGGTTCGCGGCTGGTGGTCCTCTCGCCCAGCTAATTTGAAGCTCGAATGACGATTTTACGTTCGCGACGGACGCGGGAATTTTGTCCAACTTACGCAATCGCTGAACTTTGGGAATCTCCAAGTCCTATGAAGCTTCTATGGACGTTCGTGGAAGCTGTGAACAGCAGCTTCCACGGAAGTCAATATCAACGTCAATGAGAAGCATGTACCACATGTCAAGCAATGTGGTACGGTTTTCCGGTCGTTGTCCCGAGATCGATTGAGGCATTCTTGTTGGCGTTGGACCTCGTCGATTAGGTTCTGAGGGGCAAAGTCCAGATACGTGGGCGCCGTGTCGTCGCCGCAACCGTTCGAAGTAGATGCGAATTCATAGGAGACGTCGACGCAAACCTTTTGTGGCAAACGACCTTCGGCAGAAGTCCGGAGGCACAGTCTTCGATGAGACTTGTGTACTGAAAATTGAATCCACAGAAGAATTTCATCGGGGAATCCGCCTGTTTCTACAGAGAACCATTGTGGTTGATCGTCCGCATCTCACGCATTGTGGACGCCCCCGATGCCGTCCAGTGCAACACTCATGTGCAAGGGGCGGACGTCATATGCGCGCGTTGTATAGCGGGCCAATGCCATAGGATATTTGCGGCGTGTACAACATACCCGCCCTCGGTAGAGTTAGGCAAATATCCTATCAGAGTTAGGCAAGCCTTGGAAGGCATGAGACCGGCGTGTTGGGTAGCCGCGGCTTCATAACGTCACGAGATTGCGCCTCGACCGTGCACCTTGGTTCTGCCCTGTCAGGACGACAGGTTGAAGCCAACTAACACAAACATGTCGCGTATTATTATTCCTGTAGTCCTTCGTCGTGACAAATAGTGCATGTCTGCAAGAAAGATCTCAAGCATCAGTTCCCGCGCAGGAAGCGCATGCCACATAGGGATAACGAAACGCGGACACACCAAACGTTTTGAACCATTGATTCGATACACACAAGACCTGCAAACACTGTCGTGGCCCGCGGTTGTTACGGAAAATTAGACGGGACGAGAAACAAACCCAGCATATGCATAGCATACGAGCAAGAGCGCAGGGCGCATAATTACTGCACACTTGCCGAAAGGTGTCCTGCGGATGGACCGACGGGTTCCCCCCCCCAAATAATGTTCACGTGCTGCCAGCCCCCCACCTCGCTCAAACCACTCAAGCAACCTACTGAGGTCCACACATTATCCCGACCAACTTACCACTTTTCCACCCCCGGAAAGAAGTTCTTTACAATAGACTGTCTGAGGCCAGGATCCGGCGCAAGTTAGGGTGCACCGTCGTAGGCACCTCATCTCCGAACATGCATGTTCCATTGATTGACGGACTAACCAGAATAAATCAACGATTTAGGCGCTGCACCCCCGTGTACGGTCGAAAAGAACCGCCGACCGCGACTCCACGTGAACACACAAAAGTTTTAACGACTCTCATCGCGAGCTGGTCGGTCATGGGTTAAGTCGCCTCATGACAATGATCTCTTGAACGAGCATCCGCGTGAGATTTTCTGCCCCATTCTCGAACGACTTTGGCCCCCGTTTGTATTAGGGTTTCTTGTCGAAGTCTTCAGGCGTGTAGACTCCTGAGAACGAGGTTGGCGAAAAGAAGGCAGGAATTAGAAACACGTCCGAAACAAACTCGCGCACAAACGTGGACCTTGTGGTTACAAGAAATGTGCGATACAGTCACACGTAGAAAACATGCGTAGGCAAGGGCGATATTTTGTAACTCAGTGAGATTTGAAAGAGGAAGGAATCGTTGCAGCGAGAGAGAGAGAGAGAGAGAGAGAGAGAGAGAGAGAGAGAGAGAGAGAGAGA